AGATAAAAGCTGGGAGTAAAAGGAGTTCTATGGAACCAAATCTTGAGCAAGACAAGAAAGAAGCTGAAACAAGCGAGAGATGTTAATAAGAACCCTCTTCTTCCAAAAAAGGCTGTCAGATTTGGGACTAGGAGAGTTAAGTCAAAAGCCTTCTAGCAGCAAGTATCTTTGAAAAATGTAAGGGATCCTGATGAGAATCCCTTTTAGAGATCAAAAATATGAAGCTTACACTTCTCAAGATGAAAAAACTATACAAATGATTTGTATGTGTTTGACATCAAAGTGAAGATACCAAATACAAACCCATCCCTGAGTAGAATGGCCTTCGATGAAGGTGTGATGGGGTGACGGACTCGTGAAAAGGGTCCAGTTTATGCCTGGCTGAGAGGCAACCTGATACTACCTGAGGCCAAAGATGCCAAATGTCATAAATGGGTTCTGACTGTTTCTCCTTGGGCTGGTGAAAATGGGGTGAGTGTTGCAAAGGCAGAAGGCAGAGTCCTCCCTGAGGAAGATTAAAGGATCTAATATGGGACAGAAGACCTTCCCAAGGCGGTCAGGGGGAGGAAAGAATTCTCCGTGTTCTGGGACTGCAGGGAAGATGTGATTAAGGACTAATATACGTCTTCCACTAGGAAACAGGAAAAGTCAATTAGACGGTGAGTAAAAAGGTTGCTCCTGGAGGGCGGGAGTGCGGACCCAGGAACAATAATGCCCTAACGTTTACTCCGTCGGTGTTGAGGGTGAAAGGAAGTGTATCTAGGGGGTCAAAAATAAAGAGAAAAGGGGGCTGGGTCCCAGGGGGGGTCCCTGGGGACTGCGGGTAGGAGCAGGAGTCGAAGGTTCTAAGGGTCAAGACTTAGCCCCAGAAGCTCGATCCCGCCCCCTCCTGTCCCCTGCTCCGGCTGGGGGGAGGGGGCTAACGCGGGTGGCCCTGGTCGGCGCGCCGCCTCACCTTGTAGAAGGCCCCGTTGGAGCCACGCACCTCGACGGGCAGTCCTGGCTCCACATCCCCCCCAGAGGCCAGGCCGCCCATGGCGCCGCCACCGCCTCCGACGGCGGCGGCTGCGGCAGCGTTCTGAGAGCGGACCGGGCCGGGCCCCCGGCGTCTCCCCGGAGGA